AAGCGTTTGAGAGAGGCGGGGCATAGAGGACCTACAATAATGTACAGTATTTGAAAAATAATGTGTTTTTTGAACATTAAAGCATGTCAACATATTCTGTTACACCAAATACACAAAATAATGATCTTTAAAAAAGCATCATATGACCCCTTTAAACTTCCCGTCTGTCTAACACACTATGCGAACCTACTGCAGTCGGTGCCCTGCACGGGTTCTGGTAGTCCTGTACACTCTCCTGGATTCAGAGGAATGGCCACCCTCCATCTGGACCCGGTGCTGTCACACTCCGTGTACTCAAAGTAGTAGTCCGCCTGTGAAAACAAACAGCACTTCTAAATTTAACAAGATACTTGTGTTTTGCGGATGTGTGAAGTTTGACTGTAAAAGAGTAAAGCACATGGACGCTTGAGTATTGTATGGATTTAATGCAGAGGACAGTAAAACAGGTCGTAACATGCCTTAATAAATCCATGAGTCATCTGTCCTGAGTCTGCTGTGTCCGCACCCTTTCCTCTCTAGACATCAGCATTAGTGGGGTTTCAACTGTGTATGGTTCTTAAGTTTTTGAACAGCTCTTTCTTGTTCACAACCATGAAAGGTTAGACTCAACCAAATTGAACAAACTGGGATGTAATTTCATGAGACATCTGAAACATGTCTTGTTACTGAACAAATTGAACAAACTGAGACAATGAATTGAATGAAGTGGTGACATATCTTTTTTGAAACTGAATGAACTGGGACATCATGTTTGTGAAGAAAAAAAACCAGAACAAACTGCAATTTCTTGTTCATAAACCAACAGGACAACCAACTTGGATATCATGTTATGAATCATGATAATGAACTGGAACATATTTTGTTAAAATTTTTTCTCGCAAGTCTTACTTTTTCCTCAGAAATGCGCAATAAAAAACTTGCTATTGCGACTTTTTCCTCCGAAATGCGCAATATAAACTCACAAATGTGAATTATAAAGTCCAATTCTGAGGGGTGGAAAAAAAGACTAGATATGTTCTCAGAATTGTGAGTTTATATCTCACAGTTGGCTTAATAACTCACAATTCGGAGAAAAAAAAGTCACAGTTGCGACATATAATTTCACAGTTATGTGAAAAAAGTCCAAACTTATATCTTGCAATTCTGACTTTATAACTCGCAATTACGAGAAAAAAAGTCTGAATTGTGAGATAACAGGCCTCATACTTAGTAGACTTGCAGGCACACAAATTTCAATAAAA